TCATATCCTTGGAATCTGCATCCAACTTTATTCCACTGTTTAAACCCAACAGCATCTTTCCTGTGTTTACCCAGCAGCTTTGGATTCCCTTCCAGGTCATCAGCTTTCTACAGACTCTGGGCTGCTCAGGGGTCATACTACAGGGTACTAGCAGCTGAGCTGACAGCAGGGCTGGGGAACAGAAAAAGTGATTTCTGCATGTGCCGATCCACAGATTCTGGGCCAGAGATCCAGGGCAGGGTCAGCTGAAGCACCGATTGTGTCACTTCGCATTTTAACAATCCAGCCACACTACGATTCTAAAAATTGCTGCCTGAGTTACAGCTATGCCACTTCTTAGGTAAAAGCAGATTCCAAAATCCTTTTTCATATGGCATTCATTGAGCAGATGTCCTGAGTTTATATCAAAAGTCTCCAAGCCTTGCATAGAGGAATTTGGCAAATAGCCTACAGAAATTAATCTGACAAATAAAGAGCTCCTGTTTATTGCCGCAATTGCTTTCACGTCACATAACCTGGGTTTGGAGTCTCATTCTCCTCTTGCATGCAGTAGCTATGCACTTGGATAATTTGATCTGGGTGTGTTTGCATGACAAAAAGAGGATGTACCATGCGCTAACCCGCTCACTTAATCTAGCGAGCAGCAAAGGCAGAAACTAAAACACCCAGCTGGGGTGCCCGGCCCGCTTGACGTCGGTGACTAGCTGATGAGGGTGTCTGCCCTCACAGCTGCTGCCACTCTGCCAGCTACACCAGGCTTCTCAGCTGGGCCAGCCCAGAACCCCCTCCGCTCCCGCCTTCTCTGTGCAGAGAAGCACCATCCCCTGGCAGGGTTGCTCCAGACTGACCCCACTCCTCGCTTTTCCTTTTTTACTTTCCCGGTGGAGCTGTGATCTTCATTTCAGCCACTGGGAGGAACCTTAGTCTTAGTCAGGAAAGGCCTGTGGGTGACGTTGGATCTTCCCTTAGGCCCGACCAGCTCTCAGGCCCAGGTACATTTCTTCACGTCCTGAACAAGGGCCTTCCTACATGAAAACCTACCCATCTTTTTTTCTCCCCCAATTACATCCTGAATGAGATATTGTAACTACTTATAAACGTTATCTTGCTTTATCTGTTGCCTCCAAGAGACACATGCGAATCACAACTCTCGATTGCTTCTCAGGTCTTCTTAGGTCAGGCTCCAGCTGGAATTGAAGGACATGGTGTTTCTCGGCTGTCTCGCTCTAAGCCCTCTGAGAAGTCTCATGTGGGCAGTGAAGTATTTTGTAGGTGCTAAGCAGGTCATGTCAAACCCAAGGCTCCCCTCTAGCTCATGCTTAAACTGTTGTCTACGTGAAATCTTTCAAATCTGTTAGAAGTGTCCGTAGTGTCTTTGCCTTTCTATTGTCAAGGCTTAGACGCCCTATGGGAATGCAAACCGAAAGGAAGTAAAAATAAGCAATCTGTTAATGAGCACACCGTTTAGAAAGGGATTTCATGGGAATGAAAGAGTCTTTTTTTTTTTTTTTTTTGCCAATATAAATGAAGGCAGAAATTTCTTTTTGTAGTAGGAGTATGTGAAATGTGAAACCCTGGTGGTGAGCAGCAATACCGATATGAATCAGAATGACTGCAGTAAACAGAACTCTACCCCTGGAGGTGGGAAGGCGATCTGGTGGCTGCAGTAGCAGAGAGCAAACCTGAAGCACCTGTTTCTGCCCCTGACTCACTGTATGTCTGCAGTCAACTCATTTACTGTCTGTGCACCAGTTTACCCATCCGTAAACTGGGGACACCTGTATCTGTATCTGACCAGCTCTAGCTCTTGCCAGGTGTCATTAATGGATGCTGACAGCCTTTGCTGTCAGGAGGGCAGGATTTCACACGTGGTAGGTACAAGTCATTACCCAGGATGCCAGCACCGCTCCTTTTCTTAAAACAGTTGTACCCTTGCAACCGAATGTGGCGACACCCGACTGACTGAAGAATGTCTTTATTCTCCTGGTAGTGTTGAAAGACTTTGAGCTACATCATGCGCAAATGTCAGAGATCAGTAGCTCTCTAAAGCTGACACGCTATAAAAGCAGTCAGTTAAACCTACCTAATCTTATCCAACCGATAACCGATATCTACCACCGATCGATATTATTAAAAAGACATTTTTCTATTTTTATACATGTATTAATTTATTTAAATTAAATGCATTGCATATATTTTGTTTCTATCTTCATTAGTTGAAATTAAAACCTTTAAGATTGTATTTTATAACTGAACTATTAACTAACCTCAGCCCTCTGTGGAGTGAGTTGGTGGTCTCAGAACCGTTGCTAAGGTCAAGGTTTCCTAAATAAGGAAACCTTTTAAATAAGGTTTCCTAATCGCAGACCACACATAATCCTGTAATTGCAGAATCAGCAGACAGAGCAACGGCTAAAAGTGGCTGGAAACTGAACTGTCCTTCCGCGGGCAGCAGGGCTCCCTGAAGGGTTCCTGTTTGGCCTGCGAAAGCTCGCACTTAACCCCTCCCCTGTGAATAAACTCTTTTTCTGTCTTGCTTGTCTACAGACGGAAGCTGTCACAGCAACTTAAATTAGTTCAGGGGGTCCGGCCTGTGCGTGTGGAATCTTGGATACCCGTTTAAAACCGGCCTCTGCGTTTTCTGCTGTTATCTATAAATTTATCACCGTGAGTCTTCTTATAAAGCCATCAATTATAAAATCATGCTTTTGATTAAACCGTTCTGACTTCAGGTATGCAGTAGGCCCAGTCAGTCTTCACGCTGTCAGACTGCCTTTCAGCGCTATAAAGTCTGAAACTAGTTGCACAGTTAATAACAAAAGCGGTGACTTCGTATTTTCCTCCAGAAAGAACTCAAACCATGAAGAAATACCCTCCTACAGGCGGCTTGGTTTTCTCTCCGTTGGCGAAAAGCTGCACTGCCAACCATTTTCTTCTGCGCTTTACCGCTAGTGGTTTTTACATAATTTGGCGGTAGCCGTCACCCCTGCCTCACCCACCACATTCGACTTGGCAGCTCCTCGGGAGAACTCCCACAACTGCTTCCACACAAAGAACTAAATCCACCCCAAGACTTGGCCATGTAAGCTGGAGATTCAGATTGTCCAAATTCCTGGCTAGGCACCACCTAATTCTAGAAAAGCATCTGAAGACGCCTGAATTTTTATTTATGAAGTTCCCCAGCTGCCTTCCTGTCTGCTCCCGGGCATTTGCAAGCTGTGGGCTTTGTGAGCGGCACGGCAGTTGCCTCCGGAGAAGGCATGTCGTGTGGTGCCTTGCTGAAGCAGACTTTCCCAAAGACTACCTGCAAGATCGGGCTGTTAAAACAGTCAACTGCAACCGAATAATCCGCACGATTCATGACAGATTAACAAATTATTTATAGCCTCGCAGGACCCGGGAGTCCCAGCCCAGGGCTGTGCTGCATTATGTGTTGAGGGAGCACAGCCCCTTTTGCAAGGAGCTCGCAGCCCAAGCACCAGGCAAGAGACAACAGATGGCGAGAGACAGATGGGAGAGTACAAGGAAACAATGAGATAAATGAGCAAAAACTAAGTTGAAGACTTCAGCATTTGGTTCCAAAATTATTAATTTTACTAATCATCGCAGCTGATGTAACCCTACGGTAGGACGCCTTTCCTGTTCCAAAGGTCTTAACAGCTACAATTACAACGCATGCCGCAGCCCAGCGTGGGTTACGTTTCAGGTGGAGAGTGGGAGTTCAGGGGGCGTTATGTGCTGAAATTCATTCAGCGAGGGGGGCTGGGGTATCTCAGCAACCCCGGGGCTTAAGGCAACCTGATTAAGCACAGCTCAGCCGGTAAAGCGCTGACTGGCGGAAAATTCAGGCTTTACGCGAGGCCGGCTCTGCCCCGCAGCCTCTGTCACGCG